AATCATACTGGATAATTTTAGTAATTTCTTACGAGTTTTGAGTCATTTTGGAAAAATTTAGAATGAGTTTTGGGATCATTTTGGCTGTAATTAACCCTAAAAGTGGTTCTACAGGGTGTTTTTTGCAGCCGGAACCACTCCAGGTTCAGGCCGCCCTATGATTTCCTGCAGTGGAAAACCGCTTTCAGATCTGGAGCTTCAGCCAGAAGCTGAGAGGAGGAGCTTTAGAAAAATAGAGTATTTTTGAACCTTGAAGCGGGTAAACTTGTTCTAGTGGACCCTAAATATACAGACATAAGCCTGTGAATGTGCAGATCGTGTGGCCTCCCCTCTGCTGCCCTCAGCGACCAGCAGGTGGCGTCTGCACGTCGCCCTGCAGCAGATCGTGCTGACCAGAGTTAATGCATACCAGAGTTAATGCAGAGCAGCGTTGGGTCGGTCTGCTGTCGGCTCAGGACTCTGTGACCTGGTCTGAGCGAGATCAGACAGATTAAATGAATGTGAGTTGGCACCAGTGTTCACATTCATTAGGAGCTGTCCGCTGGATTATTGCTCTGTAAGTAACTTATCCTCAGAGGACCCCGACCGACCGACCGCCGTCTCCTCCGCCGCCTTCACACCCAACACCAAACCTGAATCCAACTTTCTCTGCAGGAAACGTCTCTGCGTCGGACGTGATGTCGGCCACCGCCGCCCTGCATCGCTCCGTCGTCCAGCGCAGAGGGGGGCGTGTCTACCTGGTCCTGGGGGAGGAGCCTCCGAGGAAGCATCCAATCGGCGCGGAGGAGGGCGTGATGCGGACGGCGGCGGCGGTGCTGATGCTGGCGTCCTACAGGAACCAGTCGCTGCACGTCTTCGTGCGCCCGGCGATGCTGGCGGCGGCGCTACGCGTCACCAGGAGCAGCCGGACAGGTGAGTGGGCGTCGCAGCAGCAGAACCTCAGCACACGCTGATCCTGATCGCCACTCTGATCCGTCCACAGACGAGCTGCTCAGCTTCTTCTGCTTCCTGCAGGACATCTTCTCCCACGAGTTCATCTTCATCCCCGGCAGGTCGACTCAGGTAACGGACTCACCTGAGCTCAAAGCGTCTCAGGACAGACATGAGGATTATATCAGTTCTGATCAGTTCTGACACTCTGCAGAGCTGTTTGAGGCTGTGGGACTGATTCTGAGCTCATGATCACGTTAGACTGACTTTATGAAGAGTTTCATCAACTCATTAATTTACTGAAACATCTGAAGGATTCTGTCCAGACAGTGAACGACTCTTTACAGGCAGAAATAAAAGCTAAAGACAATATTTTATTCTGTTATTATTACGTTTTCAGCTGTTTCATACGTTCATCTTTGCCAGTTAACATCCAGACTGAATGAAAACATGATTTAATTCACTGTGATGCTGAAAGACATCCAGCAGCTCTGAAGGTTTGATGTCATGAAACAACTCAAATACAAAAATCGGACTAAAGTTCCCCCGAAACCGTCTGGTTCTGTATCTGCAGCACCTTTATCTACTGACCAGAGTTCTACCTTCAGACTGTGAATGTTCCACAGTTCCAGGTCCTTGAAGTCCACAGAGGAGGGTCCAGATTTATCACTTTAATGGACTTTTTCCATCATTTCTGAGCCTCAGACCTTCAGTCTGAAGGTAGAACTCTGCTTGGCGTCCTTAAATATCGTAACGTACATGCAGACTGTGGGATTTTTTCTTGAGTGTTGCTGTCGTGTGTCTTTATTTGTGTGTTTGTGTCCTTCAGGACTTTGAGGAGGCCTGTTTCTACCTGAAGAAATGCTCAGCAGTGAACCTCAGTGACCAGGAGGTGACGGTCTCGGACTCGGGGCTGGAGGTGTTGTCCTTCCTGCAGAAGCTGCTGCAGCCCTTCATAGACTCCTACCAGGTACCAAACCCTCCGTCTCTCTCGCTGTGGTTCGTTTCTTTTTGCACAATTAAACAAAGCAGCAGAATCACCTCAATCTGCATCATGAACAAGTCAAGAATCCACGAAATGTAGATGCACAAGAAGTACGAAGGTGGAATAAAAACAGAGATGATAATCGACTGTGTGAACCTTTACATGCACCAATACGACACGATGGATGGCTGGAACCAAACTGTGGAGAATTGTACACAAAACTGGTAAAGTCCATGTTTATCACGCTCGTCTTTAGTCTCCAGTGACTCCGAGAACTCTGGATTTTCTAAGATGGAACCATTGAAACATGAATCTTTGTCACAAAAAGCAATCAGGAATTTTGGTTCTTTCATAGATTTTTTTAAAGGTCATCTGGAAATATGACAAAATCTGCTGGATCATAAATATACACACAGCAACTTGAATCATCAGTTTGTTAATGTAGAAAGTTGGTCTGCAGTGAACCAGAAGCTGCTGGAACACAGCTGTCAGTGTCCACAGGGTCTGACATCAACATGAGCTGAGAGGCTGATGGAGAAGGAAGTTCTTCCTCCAGAACCTTAAAGCTCCACTGAAGTCTGCTGCTGGTCACATGGACAAAGAAAAGGCCTTCTGGAGGAAAGTTCTGGTCACATGGACAAAGAAAAGGCCTTCTGGAGGAAAGTTCTGGTCAGATGGAACAAACACTGTCTGGAGGAGAGAAGGTGAGGCCTTTAACCCCAAGAACACCAAACCTACCATCAAGCATAGAGGTGGCAGCATCATGCTCTGAACTGGAGCTTTAGACAAAGTCAATGGACCAATGAAGAAGGAGGATCACCTCCACGTTGTTCAAGAAAACCTCAAACCATCAGCAGAAGGTTGATCTTGGACACAGGTGGATGTTCCAACCAGACAATGAGCCCAAACACACATCAAAGTGGTGAAGAAATGGTTCCATCAGGCTGGAGTGAAGGTTCTAGACTGGTCTCCCCAAAGTCCTGACTGGAACCATCCAGAACCTGTGGACTGATGAAGAACCAAGTCTGAGTCAGAAAGACGACAAGTTCAGTTGAACTGCAGCGATTCTGTCCAGAGGAGTCAGAGATGGACCAGAAGCTGGTGGACGGAGACCAGAAGAACCCGACTGAGGAGAACATGGACGTTTAACCAGATATTAGTATTTATGTTTGTATGTTTATGCTGCGGATGATTTAGTCATATTTCTAGAAGAACTTTAGTGAATCTATGAAAGAACCAAAACACGTTTCAATGGTTCCATCGTAGAAAACTCAGACTTCTAGGAGTCAATGGAGACTGAATGATAAACACGATCTTTACAAGTGGATTTAAACTTCTGTTCAGACTGTGTAATCGTTCCTGCAGTGATCAGATCAGCATCATGTCCGTCCTCTGGCGAACGTGAAGCTGCTTCGAAGCAGCTCGACTGTCTCTGACCTCGACGAACCTCTAAAGCTCACTGACTAATGTGTTTGTTTGGTCTGAACACAAACTATTTCTTGGCTGGGATTAGTCACCTGAAGACCTGCTGACTGATCCACGAAACACTCACCTGAGAGGAGTTAGACCTTCACAGGCTGTTCTCATCAGGCAGGACCCTGTCTGTGACATTACACCTGCTGGGAGATGCTGTTTAGAAGGTTCACTAAGGGTGGTTTGTGCTTCTTATGTTAATCAGGTGTGTTGTTTTTATTCTCAGCTCGTGTTCAGGTTCCTTTGTGAAGACGGACCTCATGTGTTCACGGAGAAGCAGCTTCTACCTGCAGTGCGCCAGTTTGCTACGAAGCTCATTCTCTCAGGTACAACAGGAACAGTCGGGTGTCATCTCCAGCTCTGCAGAAAACCTCCATAATCTGTGTTTTTATTCCTCTCAGGCGAGCTCGACACCTACGAGGCGTTGTCGTCGGACACCCAGAAGAACGTCCTGCTGGCCCTGAGGAGGCTCCGGGCGCTCACCAAGTCCAGGGCGTGAGTAACGAGATCAGCCCCCGCAGACCTGTTTGCGTTTAAGCTCATTTTCTGCGGTGGTTCAGGAGCCGCCGTCGGTCCTGATGCCAGGTGACACACGTTGAGGTTCTGTTGTTTGATCACAGGTCTGAGCAGAACGAGTACAGAGTGAACCGAGAAGCTGTGAGGAGAGCTGCAGACGTCCTCGGTGAGCTCTGATCAGGACGGTTTGACTTTTACTGCTTTTGTTTAGCGTTCAACACACCGACAACCGTTTGTCTCTCCGTCCTCTCTCGCCGTAGCCGGGAAAATCCCTCCCCAGATGCTCCAGACGACGCCTGACGCCAGACTTTAGTCCGAGTTGGAGCGGGTCCATCCTCGGCCCTGCTTTCGCCCGACTTGACCCTCGTCTTCGGCCCAACCTGCGCTCTGAGCCCTCAGACGCCTCCTCCTGGACGTCCAGTCTTAACCCGTAGCGGCCCAAAGGCGGCGGTACCGGTTCTGTTTTGGTGTATTTAGATCAAAACAAGAAAGTTTGCTGGCGTCTGAGCTGTAACTTTAACAGGTCTCACTGTGTTTAACATGCCCCTCATTATTAACTCCGAGTGAATGAACACGAATGCACTTTCTAACAACTGTGAATCTAAACAGCAACAACTGAATGATGACACTTGATTGTATGTAAATTAATGCAGCAATAAAAAAAAAAGAAAACATGAGACGTCAGGTTTCATTTGTTCGAGACATTTATTGTTTACATGTCAGTAAATGCAAAACAAATGTAACGAGACGCACCATTTAGTGTAGTTTCAGTGATTTTCTGTGAGTAAAACTCAGAGTTCAACCTTCATCTGCTGCAGCAGGAACCTCAGAGGAGGAAGAAGGAGAAGAAGAAGAAGAAGAAGAAGAAGAAGGCCTCTGACAGGAACAACAGCAGTGAGTTCAGCACTGTGCAAAATCATTCACATGTCAAATGATTCCTGATTTAACCACCTCAGTAACGGAACGATTTCTAAGTTGAACAGAAGATTTTTTTTTCTCCTACCAACACTTTATAAAGACTATGTTGAAAATTCAGGCCACAAAGTAGAAACTCAAAGCCCAGAATCTAAACTGAGTCCAGTCAGTTTACCTGCATGAACAGAGCAGCAGAACCTTCTCAGTTCTGGACCTATGGACTGTGTCTATCTATGTCTGCATCATGGCTCCACATGGAGAAGACCTGAACAGAGGAGGAGAAACATCTGACTGAGAGACTGGACAAAGATGGAAAAGGATCCAGGAACTAAAACCCAGTGCAGCCCAGTGTGAGCAGTAACCAGGAGGTCCAGAAGGAGCCATAGTAGCTCTGATCAGGGCTGCAGTGGTCGTCCTCCTACAATGACTCCACGGACAGTCAACTACTGTCACTATGGAGCTGTGAACACCAGACAAAGGCAGCTGCTTCAGACTTGGCACAGGGCTGATCAATGGAGACCAGAGTTAGTGTGAAGCTCACACAGTGTGAAGAACGCTTCAGAACCTCTAAAAAAAATCCCTCGCTTGCTCTTCAACACCAAACTTCCAATGAAAGTTTGCCAAAGAACATGAACAGAAGCCTGATGGATGTTGGAGAACATTCTCTGGTCAGATGGAGATCAATGTGTTGGGCTCAGATGGAGTCCAGATGTTTGGTGTGGACCTGACCAGGACCACCACAGTGGATGCATGGTCCTGACAGTGAAGCACGGAGGTGGCAGCATCATGATACGGGGCTGCATGAGGGCAGAAGGTGTTGATGACGTTTGTAGATGCTCCATGAATGTCTGAGGATGAACCAGAATACTGGCTGAGCAGATGAAGAAGAGGAACGCTCCAGCAGGAGAACATCTAGAGAACATCATCACATTAGAGGTTCTACACCAGAACCAAGTGGAACCAGAATGTCTCAAACGACTTAAAACTTGTCCACAACTATTTCAAGCTTCTCCAAAATGATTCGATGTTAGTACAAAATTACTAAAATGGCATCCACATTTTCACCCAAATGACTCAATTTGTACAAAATGAGTTTTAAAAAATGTCCAGACAGCTGAACATTTCTAGTCCACAACAAATTCTCTCAAATGACTTCAGTTTTGTCCACAATGGCTCAAAAGCTGTCAAAAGGGAGCCAAAGTTGTCCAACCTGATTCAGAATCTGTCCAAATGCTGCCACAGTTTGTCCATAATGACCCCAAATGAGTCCAGTGACCCCAATTTTAGTCGAAAATGGCTCAAATTTAGTCCACGAGGACTCAATATCTGTCAGAAACAACCTAGAATTCATTCAAATTGACTCAAATGTGTCCAAATACGACCCAGATGGTTTGAGTCCTGACCTGAATCCAACAGAGAACCTTTATGGTCTTTTAAAGAGAACGTTAGAGCAACACAACCATCCAGCAAACAGACACCAGTGGACTGTGGTCTCCTGCCTGAAGGAACCAAAGACTCGAACCTCAGTCATGACTTTTGTTGCGCTGACTTCTGACTTCTGAGGCCTGAGTTTTTAATATATTGAACTTAAAGTGTTTGTTTTTAATTTGACGTCAGAGCAAATACTCTACTGTTCAACTTAGAAGTAATCTGATTACTGTAAGGTGCGGAATTATTTGACATTTATCAGATTTGCACAGGTCTGGACTCACCTCTGCTGGACGCTGTAGGAGCCAGAGGACCGTGATTATCTGTAAACCGGCGGCACGTCGACCTTGATGCGCAACGCGCTGACCGGGTCCTGACAGAACACCGAGATGTATTCCAGAACCTTGGAGTTCATCTTCTTCTCGCCCTCCTTGGCTCGGTGCCGCTCTTTGTCCCAGCGCTCCTTCTCGCCGTTCATCTGGGAGAACAGGTTGACCTGGATGGTGCGCAGCGTGGCCGACAGGACGTAGAAGCCTCCCTGCAGCATGTGGCAGAAGGCGGCGCCCACGCTCAGGGCCGCGCCCATCAGGTTGGGCACCGTCTCGCACACCACGCACATGCCCTCCAGGAAGTGCAGCGTGCCCTTCTTGGCCAGCGGCTGGCCCTGGTGGACGTATCCGTGCGGGGAGGGCGCCTGGTTAGCATGGTTCCACAGGTACCTGCCGCAGTCGGCGAAGTGCGCGGCGGCGCGGCGCAGCGGGAGCAGCGCCAGGTACAGGTGGCAAGCCGCTTTGGTCAGAGCGTGGAAGAGCAGCCGCAGCTCAAGCACGGCGTTGCCTGGAGATAAGAGGGTAACGCGGTCAGCTGGAGGCTAATTTAACACTGTGGCTACTGTCAGCAACCATTACAAACAGTGTCTGGATTAAAGTCTGCTCACCGGCCATGCGGGCGCACGCAAAGCGCAACTTTACGCACCAAATCACCAACAAATCCTGGCTGGAAATCTGCTCCTTGTACCGCAGTTTCACGTTTATTATGAGGTTCTCCAACAGTAAATCGGAAATATTATGAAAGGAACCTCACTGGAACTTCCTCATCAGCTGTTTAACTGATAAAACCGATAAGTTATGGTTTGATGTTTTGTGTAACTGTCCAGTTTTAGCCTTATTAAAAGAAAAGTTACACCAAATGTGATTTTTTTTTTTCCTCCCAGAAAATTACCTGTAAACCTCCAAATCAAAGTGTTAGACTGATCCCCACGCTGTATTAATTCCACACGCTGTGACTTAATAAAGCAGCGAACAGGTGCTGCTCCTGAAACGCTTCCAAATTCTCCAAACCAGCCGTTTTTTTTTCCTTCTTACCGTCTATGAAGCAGAAGATCCACAGCAGGGCGATGCTCGCTGCCAGCGACGTCCACCAATCCATGAAGCCTGCTCCCTGTCCGGCACCGAGGAGAAAGAGCGCAGAGAGCAGAGCAGCTGCCTTTACGCAGATAAATCCCAAACATTAAGCATCTCGGCAGGTGTCGAGGTGCTGCAGCCGCAGCGGAGCCTTGAAAAGCGCAGCTCAGGAGTCAACAGGCGCATTAAAGGTGCAGCTCTTTAACCTACTGCTCTGATGATAGCAGCTTTACAGGCCTCTGCTCTGACCTTCCTCAACCCTGCAGGCGCAAACATTCTCACCTGTTTACTGGAATAAATGCAAACAGATATTTTAAATCATTTTCTTCCTGCAAATTCATTAAATAATTGTTGGTTTGGGGTTTTTTTCCCAGTTTGATTTGTGATTTCGATGAAACTCTGGACCCTCTGTGACCTCAGATGGCTCCATTGGTTTGTCTCGGGGCTTCGAAGAAACAATAAATCCAATAAAAAGAGGTTTATCTTAACATCTGATCTGGATTTAGAGTCACTGTGACACCAAATCTCCAAGAAAACTCTTCATACAAAATATAAAAGCACTTAAATCCATTCCAGAGCTGGTTTGTCTAATTTGTCCAAATGATAAAAGCATCTGATCAGTAAGAAGGACAAAACTTTCAATAAAAATATTAATATAAAGTAGAAGAAGCTGCAACCAGCTTTCACTGAAATATTCAAGAACACTGTAAAACCTAAAGTAGTAATTATTTATATTTTTATTTTTAAAGTCAAAAGTCAGTCATAAATAATCATTTTTTGTTAATTTCTATATTTTTTTCTTCCTTTCTTTCTTTCTTTCTTTATTTACAGTTTTTGAGTGTCACATTAACATTGCCCTGGTTCCTCAGCTGCTAGATTTTTTTTTTTTTTTTATTTTTAAAATTAAGAGATTTATTTATCTTTACAGTCAACAGTCATTAATCATCTCTTTTGCAATCATAATAATCTAATATTATTATTTTAAAGATATTTTTCTTGTTTGTTTTGGGTTTTTGAAAATGAACAGAGATTTATTTTTTAATGGTTTTTTTTTAACAGTGCAGCTGACCAAACGTCCAGCCTGAACCTGACTTCACTGCGGTGAATCCTCCTGGTTCCGTCCAGTCTGTCGCTGGATTCCAGGTTCCGCTCCTCAGGTGGGTCCAGATCCAGGTGAACAATCAGTCAGCAAGTCGCTCCTCTTCTCATCGTTTTTTCTTTAGTCTGGAACACTTTTGGCGCCATTCTGTTTAAAGCGCTGCAGAAACGTTCACGTGTCGTCGTCGTGCGCGCCCGTGCCCGCTGCGCGTCCTCGTGCGCAGATGCCATGGAAACAGGAAGCGCGCGGACGGAGGGACACCTGGCGGAGGTTTGAGCGAAAACCTCAATAAAACCTCCATAAAACCCAGCAGCAGCAGCAGAAGAACCTCTGAGGGGCTGAAACCCGAAACTTCTCCGGTTCTGGTTCTGGTTCTGGTTTCTTTCTGCAGTTTTCTGGACCAACTTCAGCTCAGGTGAGCAGCGTCGCCATGGTAACGGACTTGAACTGAACCTGAACCAGGAGCTGCTGCTGCAGGAGTTTAAGGTGATGAGAGGCGTCTGTTGACCGGTGAAAGACCCGGATGGAGGTCTTCAGGTTTCTGTCAGGAGTCTTTTCTGTCGTCTGTTTGTTAACGTCTTTAAATGTGTTTTTATTGAAGTTTTAAACACGAACCAGAACGTTTCCTCTGAGCTCCACCACTGAGCTGCACCTCTGGACCGGGTTTGTGTGAGTTTATGAATTTTTTAAAACATTATTTCTCACATTTGGAGTCATTTTGGATCATTTCTAACTAATTTTAAACTATTTTTTAGTCCTGATTGATGGTTTTAAGCCACTGTGGAAGGTTTTAAACTCATTTTGGACAATTTATAGACTTTCTGAACCATTT